GTCCGCTTCTTCTGGGTAAAGTTAGCCTTAATGTCCCCTCCCGGGTATCAAGACACTTTGTCCCTATTTCCGAAAGCTTGTAAAACTAATTTTGAATTGCCCGAACCACTCCGTTGCCAGGAATTTAACTCTCGTTCCAGCACATTTGATATATCTGTATCGCTTTTCAATAACTAATTGACTAACATAAATACATAATAACCAGCTAATGAATTTCGTTCTGTTTTAGACCTCGCAACTACTATTTTGTGGACAACTGTTATGCTTATTATTGTTGCTATTAAGGGTCAAACTTTATTAAACAAAATTTAATGGGCTAAAAAACTGCATGATGAACTTTTTTCTAGAGAGCGTAAGTAAAAAGTGCAATATTTGAATGAAATTTTGCAGAATTTTCTTAAATTTTGCACAAGTTTTGGAACTTTGAAATTTGGGGTTTTTTTTGTAGAATTAACCACATTTTTACAAAAAATTTGCGAAAAATAAAATATTCCAAAAATAGTTGCCCGNTGCGCCCCTCGTGCGGATGGGCGGGAATGGAGGGTAAAAACCGGTGGGATTATTAAAAAAAAAAGGTCAAAATATCGGACTCCTACATTTTGCTCTAAGAAATTTCCGTTGGGATTCTCAATTTAACCTTCCGCCTTATACGGGCCGATTNAAAAAAAAAAAAGGTCAAAATATCGGACTCCTACATTTTGCTCTAAGAAATTTCCGTTGGGATTCTCAATTTAACCTTCCGCCATATACGGGCCGATTAAAACTTATTAATCTTCCTGCACTTGTCAGTCGCAGGGAAATGATTGGTACAATTTTTATGGTTAAATTACTGACGGGCTCAATTTCAAGTCCGCTTCTTCTGGGTAAAGTTAGCCTTAATGTCCCCTCCCGGGTATCAAGACACTTTGTCCCTATTTCCGAAAGCTTGTAAAACTAATTTTGAATTGCCCGAACCACTCCGTTGCCAGGAATTTAACTCTCGTTCCAGCACATTTGATATATCTGTATCGCTTTTCAATAACTAATTGACTAACATAAATACATAATAACCAGCTAATGAATTTCGTTCTGTTTTAGACCTCGCAACTACTATTTTGTGGACAACTGTTATGCTTATTATTGTTGCTATTAAGGGTCAAACTTTATTAAACAAAATTTAATGGGCTAAAAAACTGCATGATGAACTTTTTTCTAGAGAGCGTAAGTAAAAAGTGCAATATTTGAATGAAATTTTGCAGAATTTTCTTAAATTTTGCACAAGTTTTGGAACTTTGAAATTTGGGGTTTTTGTTGTAGAATTAACCACATTTTTACAAAAAATTTGCGAAAAATAAAATATTCCAAAAATAGTTGCCCGTTGTAAAAAATTCGCTGTACTTAAACTTTATTGACTGACTGTATGTAAATGCATGTGTGTGCACCTATCTATTAATATCGTTGAATTATTTTAATATCTATTGCAAAATTTTATACAGACAAGACTAAAAAGTAGAAAATAAATGGTATAAAAAAACTTTTTAATATACAACGCTTTTATAAATGGACTAAAAAGTAGAAAATAATGTTTCTCAGTCCCATAGAATTTGTTTTGATAACTTTTGATTTTGAAATTTTAGCAAAAGTCGTTATAAACAATTTATGAGATTGAAAATGAAAAGCGTGGGGCGCATGCAATACAAAGCATTATATTTAATTGACAATAGGCAAACTACATAACATATACCTAACATTTCTACAGAGAAAGTACAAATTTGAGATCGATTTTAAGCGGTCGTTACTCATATATCCACATACATATGAACATATATTACCCTTCATATCAATTCAGGTGTCTATTACATGCGCCCCACGCTTTTCATTTTCAATCTTATAAATTGCTTATAACGACTTTGCTAAAATTTCAAAATCAAAAGTTATCAAAACAAATTCTATGGGAATGAGAAATATCATTTCTACTTTTTAGTCCATTTATAAAAGCGTTGTATATTAAAAAGTTTTTTTTTAATTTATTTTTTATATTATTTTTTATTTTATTTAACGTTTGGAAACTTTTTTGATTCATCTTTTTTCTTTCACTTTCAGTTTCTCAAATCTTTAGTTTTTCCTGTTTAAAAAAAATATTTTTTTCATTTTGTTTAGTTTTTAGAAAACTTATTGCTAAACGATAATAACACTATTAGCACATCTTGCAATTAGTTATTAGAAATACAGAAAAGGGCTTTCAAGATAGTTGCCGAAATGTTAAGACTTCCGTCTCTCGAAAGACTGAGGTGAGTTGAAAGACAAATGCCAGAATTGACCTGTTATTGGTCTTGTTTGTCTTTTAGCAAACAATTTAATTAAATAAATTTTTTTTTTCCTTTTTAAAGCAATAAAATCTATAAACCAAAAGAAAATTAAATCAAAAAAGCAAAAAAATTCAATATAGTTTATTATATCGGCTAACACGCACATAGATCATCTTGCTTACGCTGATGATATTTTAATTTTTTCTAAGACTAAGGCCTTGACGCAAGTAAAAATAATTGTTTCTAACATACTAAGCGATCTAATCAATTGGTTCTAAGTATTCTTTAGTTCATATAACTACACCCGTAAATGTAATTAGGGCTATTATATTAGGAACAGTTGACTTTAGACTCGTAATTTACGGACACTGCGCGAAAAAAAACATCTTAAATTGCTAGAAACACCTTACCATGCAGTAGAGGAGAAGAAGCATCCATGCATTTCCCACCTCGCCAATAAAATCCATCTCTCACGTCGAATCGTACTTCCAACAGTTCCATACTCATAAATGACCTGGTGTGTTATGTTCAAGCTTAGTTTTGGAAAGAACCTTTATTTTATATCTTCAATAATCCTTCGCTTAAGAGCCTCTCCTTTATTTTTGTGATAAACCGCATATAAAAATGTCCCTTACCAGATCTTCACGTATATCCCCGAATTCACAAGTTTTGCTCAGATTTTGCAATGCGGCAGCGTACTGACTTATTGTCTCTTCCGAGGATTGACGTTTCGTAAAAAACCTGTGGCGCTCTATTACCATATTGACGTTTGGAGTGAAATACATTTCCAGTTTGCTCCATAAGTCGCCATATTGGACGCTGTCTATATCGACATTAAACGAAGTGAAAATGTTTAGACATTCTGCACCCAGATGGTGCAAGAGAAGTGCATTTTTTCTTTGCTCGGTTTGATTATCTAAAGCAGATGCACGCAGAAATATTTTGAACTGCGTACTCCAAGCCTTCCATTCCGCCGCCAGATTTGACGCTCTTATGTTCAAAGGTGCTATGGTAGTGGCAATAGATAGCACTCGCTGTGCCTCTGACATGGTAGCGTTGCCTTCATCTACCATTTTTAATTTTTTATAAACGTAGTATATACTATTTTTATTTAATAGCTTAGCTTTGGTTGCGCGTTTTTAACTTTTGAGTTATTTCGTTGTGCAACTATTTTAATTGACCCCACCTGACGCCATGTGTTATGTTCAAGCTTACTTTTTGAAAGAACCTTTATTTTATATCTTCAATATAGGGATGTGTTTTACAAAGTTCAGTAATAGTACAAAGTAATCGATTATTAGTAAAGGTTAATGCTAACGTTGTGTTTACACCACAGTAATCTTACAACACCTGGGAGCTTATTTTCACAGACGGTTCCAGATATGATACCAGCTGTTATTTTGCAGTATCAAAAGGCATAGGTGTTTCCATTTCGCATCGATGCTTTTCCCGCGTACTGCTCAGCATTTACAGCCGAATCAGCTGCATTACTAAAAGCTGTACGTTTCGCCTCTAAAAACGAAGAAAGTTTCGTCATATGCACGGACAGTAAATCAGCCATCGAAGCCTTTTTAACAGTGCTAATGATTATCATATAATTTCGAAATCACGTGAAATACTCTTTCGACACAAAAACACCATTAAAATTATATGATTATCTGGGCACGTCGGAATAGAAGGGAACGAGTTTGCACGCCATGATTTCTGTGTTAAAACTTACTTCAACACAGTATTTAAATCTAAAGAACTGACATATTCATTGCTCTGCAAAACCTCCTGTCAGCAATTTTTTTTATATAAATAGGTATAATTCGAATTGCAATAACCCCTATCTGGTCTTTAAACTAAAATAAAATGAATTAAAAGTAAAAAACTAGTTTTAATATATAGCGTGAATTTTTAAGACAAGCGGAGGTACTTCAAATTATTAACCTTTTTAATAATAGCTGTCAAAACAATTTTTTTGCTCTCCTGAAAAATTGAGTTTTTGCAGATAGAGGGTATTGAACATAAGCCCTGGATATGTATCTCGGTAACCGTTCTACCAATTTGTACCAAATTCGGTAAGGTTATTGTGCTCGCCACATAGAAGCAAAACGTTATTGAAATCGGACTAAATTTACGGCCACTTTTCATATATCGGTTAATTTCAGAAATGCTTGAAACTTCTATGTTTCGAAATTTAAGGACGCTAATTTAATCAAAATTGATAGAAACAACAATCTCTTGAAACGAAGTAAACATATATTTAATACTTGCGCCGGGTATTTAATGTTAGGCTCCGCACGAACTTTGATTTTCTTACTTGTTACTTTTATTTTTGATCGAAGAAATAAAGGTCATAATTCAACTTTTATATTTGCCTGAAAAAATAAAAGTCGAGTTTTAACTATTATATTAGACTGTAAAAATTATTACATTTTACAATTTTAGCTTTTATTTTTGACCAAGAAAACTAAATTATATTTTAACTTTTGTATTTGATTGAAAAAATAAGTCAAATTTTAACTTTTACTTTTGACCGGAAAATATAAATCAAATTTTAAGTTTAGTTTTTGACAAATGCTTATTAACTCTTTTGAAAACAAGCTTAAAATTTACGATCCCTGCTTAAATTTTCTCAGATATACTTCCTACTCACCAAAATTGTCTCGCAATCGAATGAGCCGTTTAGAAAAAAGAAGTGAATTACCGAAAAATATTAATACTTACCTCTTTTGGTATATCGGTTTCCCAAGAAATTCCATTAGTTGCTCGAACAAGGTCACGAAGGGAGTAAATTAATGCTCTTTTGCCATCATAGTAAAGTAGCACAGCAACTAATCCTCTTGACAATCCGGGGTGCTTAAACATTTCCCTTTGAGCAGTGCAAAGTAATTCTAGAGCCATCATTTCGTCAACATTGAACATGTCAGATATTATTAAAGTTTCGTCAATTAATTCTTTCGAAATTGGTACAGTTCTGGAATATTTTGATGTGGATACTCCATCTAATATTCCATTTTTTAATAGCTGCCGGTGTTTTTCATTTTTTTGCTGGAAATAATAGTAAAAATTAATAAAGGCATACCAATAATATATTAGTTTCAATCTAGAAGTACATAAACTTTACTACTTGCAGGGTTCTTATTAACCTTAACCTTCTTAACTCATTCATTTATTGTTTTACTTTAATTAAATAGTTTAAAAAGAATGGTATGACAAAAGAAAAAGGTGAAAGATCTTTTTTCAGTCATACTTTACAACCTCATACCTCATGACTTGATTTAAAACAAAATGTAACGAATGAGTAGACATGTTTTCAATTGCAGCTATTTTTACAGCGATGAGTGATAAGCATCTTATTATTTTCGTTTTATGCTGTGAACAAATGAGATAGTGACTATATTTGTAAAGCATTTGATGAATTTGTTTCTCAATTTTAGACAAACAATGTATATCAAAATATTTTGTGCATGGCGGCTTTTTCGAATGCAAGTAGTTAAAATAACGTTAAGGTCCATTTTATGCTTTGGAAAAAAAATTTTAGCAAGTGACGGGTGGGACAGTATTTTGTGACAGATGCGACGAGTCACTATTGAGGACACATATATAGTTCGTGATTAAAATAAGCACTACTGATTTGATATTAATGGACCTTATTTAAACAATGTGATAGCTAAAGTATTTGTACGTTATGTTAAACAAAAACATTTTTTGCTGTGACGGGTAGGACATCCAATAAGCATTTCTTTTAACGCTAACAACTTTTCCATAAACGTAGTTTTGTAATAACTAACTACTATTTTAAAGTCCATGAGTTTTTCTTTGTTTGGAAAATTATTTTTTGCACTCTCACTTTCAATACACAGAAAGGTTAAAAAATACTAAAAAAATCTAAATAAAATAAACTAAATATTAAATAAAAAATACTAAATAAAAAAATATTATATCAGAGACAGTCGCAGAGTTGGTAGCTTAGCCGAATCATGGCCAGTCCTTATCAGCGGATGGTAGTGCAATCGTTTCTTTATCTGTGTATATTGGGCGAGTGCCTCTATTCCCCTGGTTCGGGCTGCTCGTTTACGGTGACCAAGAACTGCCGACCCCCTAATCCAGGGTGTTAAGCGACACCGTGCCCATTGGAGGGTTTGCAGCCAGGTGGTTTACCAGACCGGCTGTATTATAACGGCGTCTTCCTAATACCAGGCCGCCTCAGGCAGTAACGGTGTCCTTGCCGCGGCATGGGGTGCTGCGTCGTTGGGCAGGTGGTCGTATGAACAAGATGAATACAACTAAAACAAACCAAAACAAAAACATTAACGAAAAAACCAAAACCTCGAGCAGCGAAGGATCGTCTGTTCCGGCATTCAAAGCTGACTCTACCCCGGTTGGGGGTCATGAGGAGGCGAAGACATCTCTGGCTAAAGCCCCGAGTGGGGCCTGCACGGCCAGCGCCGTAGAGGAGCTGGCTAGCGATAAAGCTTCGAGCAGCGGAGGGTCGTCCAAGTCGATACCCAAAGCTGTCTCTGTCCCGGGTAGGATTTCTAGCCCTGCAGAGGCGAAACCGCCCTGCGTTAAGGGCTTAAGTAGGGTCTGCACGGTCGGTGTCTCAGGGGGGTCGAAGCCAGCTCCTTCTGGTATGTCGGCAATGGCGGCGGAATTCTGCCGGTAGCGGGTAGTGCCTGTGCGAAATCGCCCAGAGTATCTGGGGGTGTGGTGCGTGGCGGAACCGCCAGCACCAGCAGGGGCTTCTCGTCGCGTATCTTCAGAGCTTCGGAAACCTCGGATGGGCCAGCGCGGCGAGAAAGAACGGCTCGGAACGTCGCACGGCCGCCAAAATTTTAGAACGCTACGGCGATCAGTGTGCTATCAAATTACTTATCAGCATGCCCGAACGCTCGAATGGGCTAAAACAGTGGTCGGCGATGCGGAGTCCGCACAGGGGACGGTAGCCGAAGGCGAGAATGCGCTATTGACTATAAAGCGGCAAAGATCGAGGAAGGGGGAAACCTCTACCATAAAAAAAACTTCGTACGGGGCCGGCTCCTACGTTTAGCGAAATCGCTAATCTTACCGGCTCCGTGGAATTAGGGGTCATGGACCGCAGCAGGGAGGACGGCGGCATCACTCACGAAGAGTGCAAGCGTGTGGCGGCCGCCATGTCGGCGGTATTTATGAGGGTGGTCAGGGGAAACCCAGGGCCACCGCCTAGGTGTGGGAGTACCGGATGGCACCACGGGCTGCATAAGCTCACGAGGTGCGCCGACGAGCGGTCGGCAGCGCTGTACAAGGAGGCAATATCCCTGGTGGGAGAGGTTTGGAAGGGTACCAAACTAGTGGCCGTGGAAAAGGTGGATCTTCCTATGCGCCCACGGGCTCGGGTATGGCTCCCTACCGAGTTTACCTTCTTCTACTTCGAGTCTTTGAACTCTTTTGACCATCGCTTTACAAATGCAAAAACGCCTTTGGCTTTATTGACTGCAACATTGATATTATGGTTGAAATTGAGTTTGGAATCCATTGTGATACCAAGATCGAAAAAATTGGATACCTTCTCCAGATTATATTTTGAAATTGAATAAACAGCTGGTTGAACTACCCTTCGAGAGAAACACATAACATTGCATTTTTTAAGGTTATGCATTACACCAACTAACCACGTTGCTCAGATCCGCTTGTAACAAAGACCTTTCTTCGATAGAGGACAATGTTTTAAAAAGTGACACATCATCGGCATACATTAAAATTTTAGAATATTTTATTATAGAATAAATATCATTAATGAATATCAGGAACAGAATCGGACAAAGGTGACTTCCCTGAGGAGAACAATTATTAAAAATAACTCTATTGAAGAAGACTTGGCTGAAATCCGATTAGGTAGAGTTTACGGATGAGTAACGAGTGACATACTTTGTCAAAGGCTTTACTGAAATCGGTGTATATATACGGATGAGTAACGAAATCGGTGTATATTACGTCGGTATGAGCATTTTCTGTAAACCCGTTTGAGACATAAGTTGTGAACCCCAATAAATTAGTGATAATAGATTTCCTTTAGAAACCCCTTGTTGAGATTGTGAAATTGAAGAAGATATCAGCTGATTAACAATAATTGCTTCGAATAATTTGGGGGTAGCAGAGAGCTGCGCTATGCCTCGATAGTTTTCTATAGAAGACCTGCTGCCGTTTTAGTGAAGTGGTATTATGAAAGATTCCTTCCAAGCTGATAGAAAAACGCCATGTTTTAGTGACAAGTTGAATAGAGTTGTTAAAGGCTCACAGATATTCTCAGCTCAGTTTTTAAGAAAACAGGTCGGAATATGATCAGCNTCTTCCTATGCGCCCACGGGCTCGGGTATGGCTCCCTACCGAGTTTACCTTTCCAGAGGAGATCGAAGAAATACTTCGAGTCTTTGAACTCTTTTGACCATCGCTTTACAAATGCAAAAACGCCTTTGGCTTTATTGACTGCAACATTGATATTATGGTTGAAATTGAGTTTGGAATCCATTGTGATACCAAGATCGAAAAAATTGGATACCTTCTCCAGATTATATTTTGAAATTGAATAAACAGCTGGTTGAACTACCCTTCGAGAGAAACACATAACATTGCATTTTTTAAGGTTATGCATTACACCAACTAACCACGTTGCTCAGATCCGCTTGTAACAAAGACCTTTCTTCGATAGAGGACAATGTTTTAAAAAGTGACACATCATCGGCATACATTAAAATTTTAGAATATTTTATTATAGAATAAATATCATTAATGAATATCAGGAACAGAATCGGACAAAGGTGACTTCCCTGAGGAGAACAATTATTAAAAATAACTCTATTGAAGAAGACTTGGCTGAAATCCGATTAGGTAGAGTTTACGGATGAGTAACGAGTGACATACTTTGTCAAAGGCTTTACTGAAATCGGTGTATATATACGGATGAGTAACGAAATCGGTGTATATTACGTCGGTATGAGCATTTTCTGTAAACCCGTTTGAGACATAAGTTGTGAACCCCAATAAATTAGTGATAATAGATTTCCTTTAGAAACCCCTTGTTGAGATTGTGAAATTGAAGAAGATATCAGCTGATTAACAATAATTGCTTCGAATAATTTGGGGGTAGCAGAGAGCTGCGCTATGCCTCGATAGTTTTCTATAGAAGACCTGCTGCCGTTTTAGTGAAGTGGTATTATGAAAGATTCCTTCCAAGCTGATAGAAAAACGCCATGTTTTAGTGACAAGTTGAATAGAGTTGTTAAAGGCTCACAGATATTCTCAGCTCAGTTTTTAAGAAAACAGGTCGGAATATGATCAGCTCCAGGCCTAAATGACACTTTTAAGGTTTTTAAATAGTGTAAAACTTCATCGGAAGAAATTACTGGAATAAAAGCTGAGTTAATTGTACCAAGTTCATACGGGTAGTCTCCACTTGTAGAGGAGTCTACCGAATAATTGGACCTAAAGNTCTTTGAACTCTTTTGACCATCGCTTTACAAATGCAAAAACGCCTTTGGCTTTATTGACTGCAACATTGATATTATGGTTGAAATTGAGTTTGGAATCCATTGTGATACCAAGATCGAAAAAATTGGATACCTTCTCCAGATTATATTTTGAAATTGAATAAACAGCTGGTTGAACTACCCTTCGAGAGAAACACATAACATTGCATTTTTTAAGGTTATGCATTACACCAACTAACCACGTTGCTCAGATCCGCTTGTAACAAAGACCTTTCTTCGATAGAGGACAATGTTTTAAAAAGTGACACATCATCGGCATACATTAAAATTTTAGAATATTTTATTATAGAATAAATATCATTAATGAATATCAGGAACAGAATCGGACAAAGGTGACTTCCCTGAGGAGAACAATTATTAAAAATAACTCTATTGAAGAAGACTTGGCTGAAATCCGATTAGGTAGAGTTTACGGATGAGTAACGAGTGACATACTTTGTCAAAGGCTTTACTGAAATCGGTGTATATATACGGATGAGTAACGAAATCGGTGTATATTACGTCGGTATGAGCATTTTCTGTAAACCCGTTTGAGACATAAGTTGTGAACCCCAATAAATTAGTGATAATAGATTTCCTTTAGAAACCCCTTGTTGAGATTGTGAAATTGAAGAAGATATCAGCTGATTAACAATAATTGCTTCGAATAATTTGGGGGTAGCAGAGAGCTGCGCTATGCCTCGATAGTTTTCTATAGAAGACCTGCTGCCGTTTTAGTGAAGTGGTATTATGAAAGATTCCTTC